GCAGAATAAACTATTGTATTTATGACAATCTTTACATTCAATAGATATGCCCAACTAGCAAATCTAAACACTTTTTAAAACGGGACCAACATATATAGCATGATAACAAGAGGGTTTTGGCAAACACAACAAGCTATCATTTAGTGAGTATTGAGGGACCAAGCTCAATAGCACAAGAATTCCCAACACTAAAAAATATAAGCTAATATATATATTTCTTATACCAAGCCAAGTATGCTTAGCAAAAAATATATAAAGATTCCTACTTTATGTTTATCTAGCATAAGTATATTTATGATGACTAATTTTTCAATTAGTTTGGGCAAAGATTGATAAAAGGTTTAACAATACCAATATCCTACCATTGTTGCAATAAAAACAGAATTTCCTAAAGGACTCACTTTCAATACCCACAATTATATTCATGACATTTTTGTAAATTTGTAATGACTTCATCTTATTTATATTGGGAGGGAGCCTTTGCATGATGAATTTACATGTTCCTCAAGTTATCTATCATCAACTAAATCATGGATATTCTTTGTAGCTAACATAATCTCTCTTGCCATGCTTTAGCTTTTTATAGTGTATTGGTGAGAATTGATTGTTAGATTACCCTCTCATGCCTCATAAGCAATCTCAAATACACTTTAAACCCATTCAAACAATACTTTAGCAAGGTGGTTGACTATAGTTGATCAACAAAAAGAATATTCAATTCTTGTTTGTAGAAAGAATTTATATACCTTAAAAAATATTTCAATTGCTCAACCTCCTATCTCAAGAAAAAAAAATGGAAAATCCATTATAGCCACGAGCTCTACCTTAAACACAAATCTTGGCATCCAAAAAAAAATTTACAAAAGTGAAAATTAATCATGAAAATGAGTATATCTAAACTTCTCTAACCACTCATAATTAATCAATGCCCTCCTATTGAATATTTCCCTAATGTTGTAACAATCACGCTATCTTAATTGAAATATATACGACTCACACGTACCTTTAAGTCAAAAACTGAATTGCCCAATGCCAATATTACCTTTCCCATATAGATGCTCTTCATTTCCAAAATTCTTACTTTTAAGTTTTAGGATGGGAGTAAGATGATTATAAAAGCAATTTTTAAACCTGTAATAACATCTAGATCATCACCTATGATGAGGAAGTCAGCAATGTAAAGAGCAATAATGTGTAATTCCCAATAGGTTTTCATGTTTTTGCTAGAAACTTGAAGTGTGATCAAGAGATGTCTTTCAATTTGGGATTCGGGTTTTTTGTTATTATCAATTATTAGTAGTTCCAGATGAAAGAGTTTAATCAAATGTTCTATTTTCATGGTTACATACAATCCCAAGTCTAAGAGCTTCATGCTCAACAGTGACAGAAGGTGATTGTTTAATTTCATATATGAAATTGCAAGACCCTAATGGTTGTTGGTGCCATCAATCTTAATTAAGCACTCCTTTACCAACTAAAACTCCTTATGACTGCCTCATAAATTTGGCTCTCTCAATTCACTTTGATATTGTATATGCAACTATTACTTTGAGTCAATTAACATTCCACCAACCACACACTATGGTGAGTTGCCAAGCATATAG